ACATAATCGAAAATTTAATTTGACCGTGTTGGACATTTATAGAATTATTATTTCACATGTGACTATGATTCACGTACCATGTACATGTCACTAATTTTATTGTTAATAATTATACAACTGAAAAGTGGGCGAATCAACATGAAACCATAAGTAAAATATATGCAATAAAATTTCTTCGCAAACCGATATTGTAAAGCAACAAATATAATTAATATCGCTAAAATAGATTTATTGCTTTATGTTTCTTTACTAAGTTTGTTATTCTTATCATCGATGTATTTATCATCGACTAAATTCATCACACTAAACATTAATGTCTATATGTATGTATTGATAATGTTATAAAGAATGATTGATGACGAACTTATATTAATGATGACATTTATTTATTTATTTGTTCGATAACATTCATTAATTCTCAAAGCAATGAAAACTTGTAGCATTTATCATTTTATGTGCGGTGAACAAATTTTCTATAAATACTTTGAAACTGTTCAAACTCAGTTTTTTCCAAAACCAAGTTACATACATAAAAATTGTACTCTAAATTTCTTCTGTATTTTTTCGTATAAATTCATCCCCTTTACTTCTCTTACTATTTTCTTCTTTTTATCCACTAGTTGTACCATTTCGAAAACATCCTATATTTATTTTCAATCTTGCAGCAGAATTAAATAAACTAACCAAAATTTATCAAAGATAAACCAACATTTACGAAACATAAGTCAAAATCATTTATGAAATATATAAAATTAATATTAATAAAAAAGTTAATTCGTAGTTTCAATTATGACAAAATAAATTATCTTCTAATAACTTTTCTCCGCTAGCTGCGCATAATTTATATTTAGCACACGATTGCGCAAACATTAACCGTGTACTGACATTGACGTTCTCCGAAGTTTCATGAAATGCATGAAAACAGCGAACGAACAGAATAGCAATGTAGTCTTTTTGTTTCCTTGAAAGAGAAAAACCGCAAGTGCAATTATAGCGTATTCTTACTCCCATTGAAACGATATATCGAGCATAATAATCAAAAATGCGATACGAATTTATGTAACATTATTCCGCGCAACAAAAATAATCTGAATGATATTCTGTTTTCAAATTATGTTTAATTACACCGAAGCTTGTTATTTACCGATCGTAATCCTACATTAATTAAAGGACACGTGTGGAGTTGTATAACAACGTTGAACAAAACGAAAATTAATCGGCTAATAATTAACGGGGAAAAATGATTCTACCGGTATCTAATCTGTATATGGTAAAATGTTTGAGTAATCAGTACAGAACGGTACAAGCTAATAGGAGATATTTTTCGATTATTTAAACGGCCTGCTTTGCATCATCGATTAGGTATTAACACTTTAAATGCCAGGTTACCGATAGGAAGGTGATATATGAGTTTATACAAGAATCTATCGGGTATTTTATGTAACTGCTTTTGTAAATGCAAGTGACTTTGTAACTGAAGGTTTTGGTACGATTTTTAGGAGGTGCTTGTAAGAGTGGGAAAATGGCGATATAAGGAAATGAACAAGGTGATATATGAGTTTATACAAGAATCTATCGGGTATTTTATGTAGTTGCTTTTGTAAATGCAAGTGATTTTGTAACTGAAAGTTTTGGTACGATTTTTAGGAAGTGCTTGTAAGAGTGGGAAAATGGCGATATAGGGAAATGAACAAGGGGATATATGAGTTTATACAAGAATCTATCGGGTATTTTATGTAGTTGCTTTTGTAAATGCAAGTGACTTTGTAAGTGAAAGTTTTGGTACGATTTTTAGGAGGTGCTTGTAAGAGTGGGAAAATGGCGATATAGGGAAATGAACAAGGGGATATATGAGTTTATACAAGAATCTATCGGGTATTTTATGTAGTTGCTTTTGTAAATGCAAGTGATTTTGTAACTGAAAGTTTTGGTACGATTTTTAGGAGGTGCTTGTAAGAGTGGGAAAATGGCGATATAGGGAAATGGACACGTGTTGTTTGGTTTTGGAGTGGTAACAGAAAATTTCACAATTTGGAATTTGAGAGGATTTAGAACTTTGACATTTGAGAACTTGCAAGTCTACGAATTTTGGAATTTATATTATGAGTGTTGGAAAATTTGAGAATTCGGAAATTTGAGTATTGAGCATTTGAAAATTTAAGAATATAAGATTTGAAAATTGGAAAACTTGCAAGTTCAAAAATTTAAGGGCTTTGAGAATTATGAAATTTGAGTAATGAGTATTTACAAAATTGAGCTTTGAGTACTAGAGAATATGAGAATTTACGATTTTAAATTTAGAGAACTTGCAAGATTAAACATTTGAGAGTTTTGAGAATTTCGAAATTTGAGTTATGAGCATTTGACAATTTGGAAATTTGAGCAATAAGGAATTGAGAATTTGGAAGTTTGAGCTAAGAGAATTTGAGAATTTTGAAATTTGAGCAATAAGGAATTGACAATTTGGAAATTTGGGCTATAAGGAATTGTGAATTTGGAAATTTGAGCAATGAGGAATTGAGAACTCGGAAGTTTGAGCTAAGAGAATTTGAGAATTTGGAAATTTGGGCAATAAGAAATTGTGAATTTGGAAATTTGAACTTTGAGAATTTGAGAATTTGGAAATTTGAGCTATGAGAATTTGAGAATTTGGAAATTTGAGCTATGAGAATTTGAGAATTTGGAAATTTAAGCTATGGGAATTTGAGAATTTGGAAAACTGTGCAATAAAGAATTGACAATTTGGAAATTTGAGCAATGAGGAATTGAGAATTTGGAAGTTTGAGCTATGGGAATTTGAGAATTTGGAAAATTGTGCAATAAAGAATTGACAATTTGGAAATTTGAGCAATGAGGAATTGAGAATTTGGAAGTTTGAGCTATAAGAATTTGAGAATTTGGAAATTTATGCTATGAGAGTTTGAGAATTTGAGAATTTTGTGATTCACGAATTCCAAAATCTGCTAAAAATTTGAGGAGTTAAACAATTTATAAACAATGACATACTCAACAACAAATCAACTATAATTAAAACCACATTAAACATTACATCTCAACACTTTAATCCTACGTAATACGTAAAATGCAAAGAATAAGTCTTGCAAATTCTAACTGCACCTACCTCCTCAATGCCATCAAGATTGATGTAACGCTCTCACGACACACTTCACCAACCAATATTGCCACTATTCTAATCAAAATGTGTCAATATTTTATCCCTCGCATAATTAAGAATTCCACAGATGCAGTATAATTATTTAACAAGAAACAGGTTCGAAGAAGTTAGACACTGAAAAGTTGGACATGCTGCTATAAAAACGTCCTGACGGAATTAATTGACTCGATATACGGAAGTCGTGTTCTGAATTACATACACAGGTAAAACCCAGCCTCGTAAAAAGACAAAATGTACCGGTTTACTTTAGATTATTTCTAAATGAAATAAAATTCAAAGCTTATCTAAAGATCAATTTATACCGAATAATAAATAACGAAGTAAACATAAATGTTTTCCCAAGTAAATACAAATGTAAATGTCTCGGGAGTACGCAGGAGGAATAAACGATTTTCATCGACTAAACGAGTGAGTCGTTAAGTAACTTGCGTTATACCGTACGCGTAATAACTTATAGTTTGTATACAAAGACAGCCTATACGCAGCTGTTATGCATGTCCTTGTAACGCTTAAATAAGAAGCAGATGCAAAGGAGTGTTTCGATTTAACTATTGTGGACAACCTGCATACCGGTGTGTATTTACGAATTATCGATCACTTTGATGTTCCTTGATATACCATCAGTTTACGGGATACCGAACAGTTGTTAAGAGTCACGTTGCTCGGCATTTCCATGTAAATTATGTAATAGGAACCACAGGGTAACCGCATTAGTTTGCGCAACCCACGTTTTACTCTGTTGCGCTCAAACAAGCGAGAGAATTTAACTTACACCACTATATTCATCTACCTGAGCTATTTCATTTTGTACCGGGTGAAGAGTTTACGTGAGTTTGATCAATTTCAAGAGACGTTAAAGGACGTTTACAAAACTTTTTCAGTACAGAGATCTCTGAGTAAAAAAATAATTGTTCCAAATTTTATCATTCACGTTTAGAATTTTTATAGTTAAGTAATTTAGTAATTTGATAATTTACAAAACTTTTTAAGTACAGATCTTTGGGTAAAAAAATAATTGTCAAAATTTTATCGATCATGTTTAGAATTTTTATAGTTAAGTAATTTAGTAATTTTATGATTTACAAAACTTTTTAAATATAGATCTCTGGGTAAAAATAATAGTCCGAAATTTTATCATTCACATTCAGAATTTTTATAGTTAAGTAATTTAGTAATATGATAATTTACAAAACTTTCTAAGGACAGATCTCTGGGTAAAAAAATAATACTCCAAAATTTTATCATTCACATTTAGAATTTTTATTTATTTAGTTATTTAGTTATTTAGTTATTTAATAATTTGATAATTTATAAAACTTAGAAATACTAATTGATTTTTATCGAATAGAAAGATGTAGAACACGTTGACACTAGATTTACGAAGCCTGTCAAAATGGCGGACCTCACACTCTCATTGTAACCTACAAAAATATCAAGAACCTTTTGTCAAAATAATTAACTCTTGTCAAGAAAAATCACTCTATAAGTCAATGTACATACCTTATTTATATTTCGATTTTATTTTTAATTTAAAAATGAATAACATCCGTAAATCTAGTGTCAAAATGCTACACTGTTTCGACAATCCATGCGTTATTTAAAATATCTGCACTTAATATTCGACTACAATAATTACTCCGATGGTCTTTCCGACCATTCAACGAAAGAAATCAATAATCGATCAATATCGTAACCGTGAACTCGAGCTTAGCCGCAATCCGACCGCGAGAAAGTCGTGACACGCGCAAATCCGGTGTGGATCGTCGCGATGAATCGAGGAAATACGCGCGCGTCCTTAAGAAAGAATTTCAAAAGAATGACTCACCGTCAGGATTGGTGAAATACCCCCAGGTGGGGGTCGCGGTGGCCGCCGATTGGAGGACCACGGCCAGAACACTCAGGGCCAGAGCACCGGCGGCGCCTCGCGCCGCGACGGCGCGCTTTTTGCTTCGTTGCGGATCGGTTGTCGTTGTGGCGACCGCCCTTACTCCTTGCCGGTTGCTCGAATCGGTTGCCATTCTTCATGCCGTTCCCGTGTCTTCGTAGATCTTGTGACCGTGACACGCAACAATTAAAGAAAAAAAGAATACTCTTCCCCACTTTCGTTCACTGACACGCCCGCACTGTGCTTGATCAGAACGAAACAAGAAACTGTTACAGCCTGTCGGTATCCGCGTACGTGCAACGAGGCTGGCTAATTACATCGGCGACGAACATAGCGTCGACGACGCACCCGATAATTGAATCTCATACATTCCCGATGTCACGTACAGCTTCGAGTATGGATAGGCGCGTGCATACACGCAATCGATAGTTCGAGGTGGGAGAAGAAAGAAGTAGGGAGAGGTATATATCGGCTTAGGCGAATTCCATGTTTCGTGTCACTCTTTCTTTCTTTCGCGGCCGATAGAGAAATAAGTATGCTACGCCTTTATATCGCGTGTACGTCCCTCTCGCTTCCTCCCTTTTCGACTAAAACCCTTCTCGCGAATATACGCACCTTACCTCGTGGCTCGACTCGGGCTCCGGAACCGGTTTTTGCGATACACGAACCGGCTAAAAATAAAAGCGCCTCGGATTCTCTCTCCTTCGTTGCTTCATTCGCCTCTTGCAATTTTCTGTCTCCTCGTACGTTACCGTGAGTTCTGATCTTCCGGGGAGCACCGTTCGATATATACGCTCGCATCACGTTCGATCCAACTGTGGATCACGACCGATCGAGTCGGCCGCGGTCGTCGGTCAACGATCACGTTCACCACCTGTCATCGCGATGGAGACGCTGCACCGGAAAATATTACTTCCCGACAAACTCGGAGCTTTTCATTATTCGGATATGTCGCACTTTCACGCTCTCGATACGTCGAACGATGTGTGCGGTCGTGTTGACGAAAGTTCGTGGCACAGGTAGTTCGCTAGGTTAGGTTTGGTGCGCGGTGGAAATACGGTTTTGCTTCGTTGCGGATCGGTTGTCGTTGTGGCGACCGCCCTTACTCCTTGCCGGTTGCTCGAATCGGTTGCCATTCTTCATGCCGTTCCCGTGTCTTCGTAGATCTTGTGACCGTGACACGCAACAATTAAAGAAAAAAAGAATACTCTTCCCCACTTTCGTTCACTGACACGCCCGCACTGTGCTTGATCAGAACGAAACAAGAAACTGTTACAGCCTGTCGGTATCCGCGTACGTGCAACGAGGCTGGCTAATTACATCGGCGACGAACATAGCGTCGACGACGCACCCGATAATTGAATCTCATACATTCCCGATGTCACGTACAGCTTCGAGTATGGATAGGCGCGTGCATACACGCAATCGATAGTTCGAGGTGGGAGAAGAAAGAAGTAGGGAGAGGTATATATCGGCTTAGGCGAATTCCATGTTTCGTGTCACTCTTTCTTTCTTTCGCGGCCGATAGAGAAATAAGTATGCTACGCCTTTATATCGCGTGTACGTCCCTCTCGCTTCCTCCCTTTTCGACTAAAACCCTTCTCGCGAATATACGCACCTTACCTCGTGGCTCGACTCGGGCTCCGGAACCGGTTTTTGCGATACACGAACCGGCTAAAAATAAAAGCGCCTCGGATTCTCTCTCCTTCGTTGCTTCATTCGCCTCTTGCAATTTTCTGTCTCCTCGTACGTTACCGTGAGTTCTGATCTTCCGGGGAGCACCGTTCGATATATACGCTCGCATCACGTTCGATCCAACTGTGGATCACGACCGATCGAGTCGGCCGCGGTCGTCGGTCAACGATCACGTTCACCACCTGTCATCGCGATGGAGACGCTGCACCGGAAAATATTACTTCCCGACAAACTCGGAGCTTTTCATTATTCGGATATGTCGCACTTTCACGCTCTCGATACGTCGAACGATGTGTGCGGTCGTGTTGACGAAAGTTCGTGGCACAGGTAGTTCGCTAGGTTAGGTTTGGTGCGCGGTGGAAATACGGACCGCTTGATATTTACCAAGGTGCTATAGTTATCGATCGTACGGGGATACGCTCGCTTCATTTCGTGCCACGTCTCCTTCCACGCGTTTCGTAACCGTTCCACTCACTGCGACTCGCCAGTTAACAGCATCCACATTAGGTCTTCGGAGACTTAATCGATGTGTCAAACTCTTTCAAAATCCACGGTACATACCGGAGTTTCCCGCTCTTCCCACCTTTCTCCGCCGTGGCGCACTCTTGTTCACTACTAACCTTACGCACCGTGTCAGTATGTCACAAGCTACGTACTCCGTTTCTCGATTGAAGTCGAGCCTCGAACGCTCCTTTTGGTGCACACGTAACCGGAAAAATGCTACGAGGACGTAATTTCCATCCGAATCTTCCCGGCCGCGCGCAGTTAACACGAGGAAAAAATGTTGACGGAACAACGGTGACACGTAAACGCGAAAACAGCGAACCACGAGATGTTTGTACTTGCGTATTCTGACCGCGCTGCCTACGTAGAAAACAGTGGGAGAAGAAGGGAGAAGAGGAACGAAAGGACATGGGAGAGCAAAGGAGACAAGAACAAAGAGAAACAATACGCATACGCGAGCCTGCGCGTTGCGCAGCATACTGAAGCGACCGGCATCGTCAAACCGACTCGAATGGTTTTCGCCGCCGTGGCTTCTCCCCACTTCTTTACCCACCTTGCTCTAACCCTCTCTCTTTTTCCTACGATCACTTTCTTTCTCTTTCCTCTTCTCTTACTCCCTCTATGCTTGCATTTGCATTTACTGTCGTACGCTTTCGTACCGCCGTATGTCCGTTACAATTGCATTCTTGGAATGTGATGCTTTTGACGCGCTGAATTAATTAATGATCCGTTTTTTCACGGATTCGGTGGCTGTCGTGGTTTGATATTTTGAAGCGTTCTATCACTTTTAAAGACTGGAAGGCTTAAGTGTAAAAGTCGATTCAGTGAATGTATTCCTAGTCAATGTCGCTGAGTGGTCTGGTTAGTAAATGTACTCCTAGGGTCGAGTACTTTTACTGTTTAAATGTACTTACATTCTTGATTGAGTGAATTTTGTGTTATTTTGTTTATATTTAGAACAAAATTAATGTAAATGAGTTTTGCTAGGACTTTTTTATGTAAATGACATAACCTATTAATACTTGTATAATGTAGAAAGCGTTCATCGAATAATTCAAGGATTATTATAAAAGAGCACGTAAACGTTGCAGTACATGTTTTTATAAACTTCAGATTTAAGAAACAAGTTTTAGGATATTTTTGTGATATGTAAATATAGATATGTAAATATTTATAAGAATATTTATGATAATTTGTATTTATAAAAATATTTATGACAATTTGTATTTATAAAAATATTTATGATAATTTGTATTTATAAAAATATTTATGATAATTTGTATTTATAAAAATATTTATGATGACAGTTTTCACAATTAAGTGATAATGTGAAGTTCAACACTTATTAATAAATGTAACTGTCAACTGTTAATATCATACCTCGTTAAAATGTACAAGTTGAACTATGTTTTGAAATAAGGAGAACCTAACCTTGAACGATAAAAAACTGTTAAATGAACGTTGCATAAAAATTCTTATTCCTCTAAACGAGAAAATGGCAGTAAAATGAAACAAAGAGTGTAAATTAATTTATTATGTCTTTACAGAATATAAAACCTAAAAATAATGTTTTAACAGAACCTTGCGTTGAGGTATTTACACAATGACGAATGCAGGTGACGCAAAGCACTTGTGACGCTAGTCTCAAGAGTTTAAAAGACAATAAAGGCCTGACATCGTAAATTACGTTGTTTTTCATGGAAGATGTACCAGACAAAAATACAAGGACGATGAAATGTATATTTTTTAAACTAGCAAAATTATAAAAAGTATACAAAAGAATCCACCATATGAAATAATTTCCTGATATGAAGTTGGAAGTTTAGTATAAAAATTTTCTGAAATGTCTAAGTAGCCATTTTAGTGATTAATAGAATTTTCAGTGGTTAATTAAATTGTAATAAAACACTTAAAATAATTACTAGAATTACTATATAAAATAATAAAATAATGAAGTAGTGAAATAATTAAATATTGAAATAATGAAATAATAAAATAATGAAATAATGAAATAATAAAATAATAAAATAATGAAATAATGGAACAACGAAATAATGAAATAATGAAATATTGAATTAATAAAATAATAAAATAATGATATAATGAAACAACGAAATAATGAAATATTGAAATATTGAAATAATAAAATAATAAAATAATGAAATAATGAAATAATGAAACAACGAAATAATGAAATAATGAGATAATAAAATAATGAAATAATAAAATAATTAAATAATGAAATAATGAAACAACGAAATAATGAAATAATAAAATAATAAAACAATAAAATAAACATGTTTCACTATAAACAATAGTCTTCAAATGTTACATAATTTAAATAAAACAGTAGTAAAAGAATACCAATTTATTTTGTCCCTTTCTACTTTTATTAAAGCAGCAGAATTATAAAGAGCGTCAAAATTTTAACGAATGTTTAATGAGCACACAATAAGGTTACGATGCATTCTGGTAAATGAAGGAAAGCGTGGGTTGAAAACTAGAGGTATCCAAGTTATTCCCAAGTTTAAAAGATTTCCATCTATTCCAAGATTTCTTTGACCTTTAGAAACTGGTTTCGTCGCGTTAACATCACAAATGTAAAAATCAAATGACGCATGACTATATAATCGCGGAAGTGTAACGATGCTCGCATATTTTGCATTCGACAAAAAGGAAACGCACTGGTACGCACATGTAATACAAAGTATTTAAGAAGTTAACGTGAGCAAAATACGCGGTCATATCGTTATGAATGTCAGAAGTATTAGTCGAACATCTCCTTAAACACTTCTTACTTATTACGCCAAGTGTAATCTCGATCCTTTTTCTCCGCCTATTTGCACTGCGAGGAATTTCCGTTCAACTTTAACTTTAATTAAAATTATCATATAATGCATCTGTAAACGATGCTACCGACTAATAAGGTTTTCCGTTAGAATACATTACGTTACATTCCGTTACTACTTTGTTATTTTTAGTATTTTTGTAATATTTAAATACTTAAATTTTTGTATTGTGTAATTGCCATGCTTGCAAGTTTTATAATTCTTGAATGTGTATTCGCTAATTTTTATGGTTTTGAATTTTTATACTGCAAGGTCTTTACATTCTCACATGTTCACGTTTTCAAGGCTCTACAATTATAAATTTGCAGGTATAAAAATTTCTATATTTTCAAATTTCCACATTCTCAAATTTTCACGTATACAAATTCCTACATTTTCAAATCTTCGCAATCCCAAATTTCCACGTATCCGAATCTTCACAAGTCCAAATTTCCACATTTCCCAATTCCCGCGTTTCAGAATCTTCACAAGTCCAAATTTCCACGTTTCAAAATCATCACAAGTCCAAATTTCCACGTTTCAGAATCATCACAAGTCCAAATTTCCACGTTTCAAAATCATCACAAGTCCAAATTTCCACGTTTCAAAATCATCACAAGTCCAAATTTCCACGTTTCAAAATCATCACAAGTCCAAATTTCCACGTTTGTTTCAGAATCATTCTCAAATTTTCACGTATACAAATTCCTACATTTTCAAATCTTCGCAATCCCAAATTTCCACGTATCCGAATCTTCACAAGTCCAAATTTCCACATTTCCAAATTCCTACATTTTCAAATCTTCACAAGTCAAAATTTCCACGTTTCCGAATCTTCACAAGTCCAAATTTCCACATTTCCCAATTTCAGCGTTTCAAAATCTTCACAAGTCCAAATTTCTACGTTTCAGAATCATCACAAGTCCAAATTTCCACGTTTCAGAATCTTCACAAGTCCAAATTTCCACATTCCCAAATCTCTACACCCCTAAATTTCCACGTTTCGAAATTCCTACGTTTCCAAATTTCCATGTTCTCGAATTTCGACATTTCCAAATCTCCACAATCCCCAACATCCACATCACCAAATCTCTATATTTTCAAATTCTCAATTTTCCAAATCTCTAACTCCCTTATTTGCAGGTCTCCAATTCCCTATAGCCTCAAATTTCCAAAATCCTCGAGTCTCCTAACCTCTAAGTTTCGAGAAGCTCAAATGTTGAATTTCTCATTCTTCAGCAATTGCCAACAGGCTTCTGAAATGAAGCTCACAATAACTGAAACTTGACAATGTTTAGTCAAAAGTGAAACTGAGACTCCCTGTATATTGTGGTTTATTTTTCAGTAAATATTTCTTAGAGGCCGTAGATGAAATTTACAATGATTACAAAGTATCGTTTGGTCAAAAAGGAAACTCGAACACCCTGTATGTTACAATTTATTTTCAGTAAATGTTTTTTAGGGCTCGTAGATGAAATTCCCAATGATTAGAAAGTAATGTTTGTTCAAAAGAGAAACTGGGACACCATGTATAACAGTCGGACAGTGGTCCTGTAATATGTGGTCGTAGCAAACGATGTGAAGGCGTAGGCAGCTAGTTCGAGGCTCTTCAAGGTTACTCGTTGCACTCTCGTATAGCAATCTTACGCAACAATACACCAAGACAAAGCGAATTGAAGCCCCCTCTGGATTCAGGGATATCACGAAGATCTAGAGCCAGTCGAAGCTGTTTATATTCAAAAGCCCGTGGAAGATCGATTTAACGAAGCTCCGATTTTATGGGTGGTTGCAATGCTGAAACACCGTTAACTCGTGCCGTACAGTTTTGCAGCACGTGTTCGATCGAACGATAAAGGTCGAATGAATTCGTGGAAGATAAATCCCACAGATCTGACGGTGCTGTTAGTGGATTACTAAGAGAGGGATTCGTGAAACACGAAGGAACGCTCGATTACGTAAGGCAAACACTGTTATTGCAAGATAGTAGTTCCAGATTATTCATACTGCTCCTTTTCAATGGATATTCTGAACTTTCGTTGGTGTTAAACCTTTCAGTGTGGACAATCCTCTTATCTTGAAGATCGTCGTAGACGTAAATTCATAGATTTAAGTTTTGTTTGAGTTCTGTCTTGCGTAATTGTTGGACTACTTCCTGAGAGTACGCCATTTTTATATTTCTTTAAGATACTTGAATCATTCGTTTCTGGTAAAAGTCCTTTTAAAAGTTCATGAATGCAGTTGTCCTTCAAATGTTGATTAAGTTCTCAGTGCTTCATAATTGTTAATCTTCTGGAGAGTATAAATGCAATTTTTATATTAGTTTAATGAAAATCGTACGTTCTTGGAAAGAGTCCCTTTATAAATTCGTAGATACGTTTGTCCTTCAAGTTTTGTTCATGTACTCATTGTCAGACTGCTTCCTGGGGCATAACGCAATTTTTCTATTATTTTAAGATGCTTTAATCATTCTTTCCTGGTAAGAGTCCTTTTACAAGTTCATGAATGCAGTTATCCTTCAAGTTTTGTTCCTAAGTAATTGTCAGGCTACTTGCTAGAAGCATAATCGCAATTTCTATATTATTTTAAAGACGCTTCAATCATTCATTCTTAAAAAGAATCCTCACAGGATTTTACCTACAAAACTTCTTAACAAAATTAAAACTCCTTGTCTATTAATTTCACAACTTCATTTTCCACAGCTTCTGAATTTAGTAAAGAAATCAATAAAGTAAGAAGTTTAGTTACGTTGAAACTGTTACCATGCGCGTAAAAGCGGAAACGCTACCAAGGTAATTTTTGAAATTACCCTACAACTATGTTTGCACTTCCTCCAGTTTCCGCCATTCCTTTATGGTCCCCGTGAGCTTTGCGCGGCTAAAATTACAGCGAACGCTAGGAATATTGCGCAAAAATTAAAGGTATAACCTTATCGCCAGGTGCGGAATGGAAAAAATGCAAGCTCAATAGAGAATACAAAACACGTTTGATTTATGGTGCACCGACGGGTCACTGAACTTGAAAGGTCGAGATTAACCGCACGGATAAGCGGAAATGCCAGGGAGAACAAAGGGATGTAATTAAACCGTTTACGACAAACCATGTCCATGTCCGAACAACTTCGAGAAAAAGACTATTATTACTAGTTCTGTACTGTAAATAATTCTTTCGAATTAATTTGATGCTCATTTATTACGATTAGCTTCTTGTAGCTTTTATGAGTGGTATTAAAATTTACTAGTGTTTTGCATTTGAAATTGAAGTCAATTTTCATCCTGACTGATGATATTGTTTGTCGTATGATTTTTTAATTACTTTTCTTTAGAATTCTTCATTCAGAATTTTAAAAATTATTTTAGAGTCATCTGAATTATATTACAGAACCGTCGACACATTACCATAAATATGACAACAAATTGATGTCGCAAATAATATTTACTCTGATAAAAAATCCTTGTGAATTTTAATAAATACGCTTGAAGGTAAAAAATAAGAGTCGTTATTGACTTAATAATTAAAATTAATATCGGACCAATTTTGTAACAGCAATATATGCTATTTTTTGTAAATATAATACATGTTATTTTTTAATACACTCATGAACATTTTATACAAAAATTTATATTAATCTTAAAGATTAAAATATTGTACACTTTCGAAACCACATTCTGTTACGACTAAAAATATTGTACTTCCATAGTAAGCTTTCATCACAAATATTTGTCTTGTGTGGAACGCACTAAGAGTTGTTTCCGTTTGCTTCAACTCCCATTTACAATTCTGTTAGAATGCAATATCTTCGATCAATATTTAAAAACGAACTACAGGGAAGAGAATGACGGCTGTCCATTTTCGCACGATGAGGTCGATCGCGGATTACCTCGAAGTAAACGACAAGTTAGGCCTGCAAACAATAAGTTAGGTCGTCCCTTTACCGGGCTTATCTTCTGTCACAACCCTTCTGACCTTTCAGTGCCTTGAGAATGGGCACCGAAACAGATGGACGCCATTGGAGATCGAACCGTAGTTCGTTGAACTCGAACTTCGTGCAAAACGTGATCCAGAGATTGTGCTTCGTTCTGGGTTGGTGTCATCGAACCCTCTGACAGTGATTCTGACCTTTATCCTCTCACTTTTATTGTGAAATCTCATAATCGATGATGATTGCTTGGTAACGCCCGACAAAGGTAAATACATATATTAGGTGAAATGGGGTAAATTGGGGTAGAATAAAATAAAATGGTGTAAAACGGGGTAAAATGAGATAAAATGGGGTAAAATGGCGTAGAATGTGGTAAAATAGAGTAAAATGGTGCAGGTTGTGGTAAAATGTGGTAAAATAGAATAAAGTGACTTAAAATGTGGTAAAATGTGATAAAATGAGGTAAAATAGGATAAAATGGTGCAGAATGTGGTAAAATAGAATAAAATGATTGCAGAATGTGGTGAAATATGGTAAAATAGGATAAAGTGGGATAAGATGTGGTAAAATACGATAAAGTGTGGTAGAATGACGTAAAATATAGAAAAACGAGATATAGTGAGATAAAATAGAGTACAAGTAGTTATTTTCATCTTTCAGGAATAAATTTGAATGAAAAGTAGTGCCTCGATTTAAAAATAGTGCGAAAATGAAGAAAGAATGAATTTACATAAGTTTATGTTCCATATCAGCTGTCACCTTTTCAACTAATTCACTTTTGACCTTTCCACGCCTGCTATAATTTCAAACATATTAATTTTAACATAATCCAATATAACCAACATTAAAATATGAATATCCACGTATTAATTTTGTCATTAAAAATAGCTTCACTAAAAAACCACATTTATTTTTGATAATAAACAACCGCATTTAACATAATTGACCATTAATATCTACGTAACAATTTCGTCATAAGCAGCTTCACTGAAAAGCAACCATGTCTATTTTCGTCGTGCTTTTAAAATCATACTAGGTGCGGTTATCCTATACTTACCTACACATCAGACACAGCAAACGATGTATTAGCACACGTGAAGCACAAATTAAGAGGACGTTGGGATTTCGTCAGCGCGAAGAGTATTTTATTTTTCTTAACTAGATCACACTAGTCGCTTAATTGCGTGAGATGACACGACCTGGAAAACCAATTGACCTGTGTCTAATAAAACACGAGACGGTTGACACGTACGTGAAAATTTTCTTGGTTAATATTAGTAATTAGTTTGCATAGAATATTCAAATCGATTTTAACTGCTATCGTTGTGTATACGTCGGTCAAAAACTATTCTCATGTGCATACATCGTGACGTATACATGATGACGTATGTATACGCCAACGCGTATGTACGTCAACTAAAAATTCTATTGTGGAACTGTCGTGCATGGACGTTTTATAAAATAAGAAATTATTCAGTACAAGAACTGGAAACGAGATAGGAAAATGAAATACAAATGAAAGAATGAGATAAAAACGTTACTATTTCTTTTATATTACCAGAATTGCAATTTACATTAACAGAACTGCAATGTATTTTACTTGCACTTTATGAAGATAACAATTGGTTATTCTTTTTAGTATAACTGTTCCTTGTGTAATTACTTTTTACAAACTTACAATTAGTTGATTATTATCTGCAATGCATGTAATATATTTAGAAGTGTTTTGAGTACTTTACTATGTAAACAGGGTATTCTCGAAGAAACCACATTTTTTAAAAATACCACACTGAAATCAACCGAGTTTCTTAACTTTATTTTATTTCTATATTATCTTGTTCGTGAATGTTATTATTCTTTGACAATATTTTATTTCTATATGATCTTGTTCATGAATTCCATTATTCTTTAACAATATTTTAAGTTCTCAATAACAATAATCGTTTCAACAGTGAATTTTTATCAACTAAAAATGTAGTCAACACGCGAAAATTGATCAATTGAAATCTCTTTTAAAATCTTCACAACTGGTTAATTCGCACTAAGTTCGAAACCGAAAGTTCTCGAAGCGTCCCCCAGTTCGCTCTCAGAAGAGCATTTGCGCAACTTATGATTCAATTATCCCTCAACGAGACTTTCGCTGGAGATTTTCAAGCAATTCCGCACTCTCGCGGTGGTCGCACATTTCGTTATATAGTCCCTGGCCATCGAATTAGAACCACGTACGAAAATTTCACTTTTATGCTACTATAACATTATGTCATATATGGAAAATTATGTTCGAACTTTTATCTTTTATTTTTATTGTACGTGATACATTATCTAATGAGTTATTTATGATACAGTTATACTATAAATGATTTATTAGGATTCGTTTATAGTGTGAATGATACATTATTATACAACTGTAAATAGTATATATTATTATAATAATAGCAGTAGAGACGTTTATCCTGTGAGTGATGCATTATCATTACAGTCCCTGGCCATCGAATTAGGACCACGTACAAAAATTTCACTTTTATGACTACAACATTATGTCACATATGGAAAATTGTCTTAGGTCGCGCAAAATTATTACTAAATATGATAACGATATATACGTAGCAATTTGTTACAATCGTGATAATAAATTGTGAGGGTGATGAGCGATTAAGGGAAGTGCGAGCGTTTACGTCAGGCTCGAGTATCGATAGCGCGTTAGGTGAAATTTGAATGCCACAGAAAATGTCTGCCTACTCAAAAGACTAGTTTACAACTCTCCAACCACATTATCTGAGTTGAAAAGAATTACAGATATTTGGGAAAATAATGAAGATATAAAGCATATGATATACAGAGCATGTCGGAAGCTGTGACCAAAGCAAGGGGTGGAAATACAAGATATTAACATGTGTTAATAATGTTACGCACAGTAGTAGTTATGTTAGCTAATAAATATCATTACAATTTGACCAGGGATTATAATTTCATGGAAGACGTGAAAGAAGCAAGAGATTGAACATGGAAGCTGAAAATTTGTAGTGGTCCTAATTCGATGGGCTTGTAAATTATTTACGACCCCGACTCGACCACAGACTCCTCGAGGTTAACTCGTTTAACCTTCTTCCAGCGTGGCCAGATCGAGATCTGCCTGATACATCTTCGTTCGATCGCAATTCGACTTCCTCGTTTCGAGGACACGGATCCTAACCGATATGGTGTCCTGTGTAAGTATACACATCGCGATAGAAGTGAAACGTCACGATCCAGTTACTCGACCCAGTCGATTCAACACGGTACCATCGTCGGGTCGTCCTGAAAGGTCGCAGGCAGATTTAAACCAAACTCCTGTGTCGTGTTCTGCTCGAGTTTCCATTCGTGACCGGTCAAATCTTGTTTCCTCACGTTGATATCGCTGTTCGGGGAGTTGTGTGATTTTTCTATAGTGTATTTCTGGGAATTCGTTGCTTGTACTTGGTACGTGTCGATTGGTATCGCTGTTTATTGATTCGTGCAATTTTGGAGAATTTTTTTGGGAATATTAAGCAGATTATAGATGGTCGTTCGATGACCATCTAACTGATCATTCAAATCCCAAATTCATATTGGCACAACATTCAGAATAAGAGAAGAATAATAAACTTACCTGTTCGTATCTTCAAAAGCTTCACTCTTCCAGATACTATCGCCACAAAAAGCTTCTTCAAAATTATAAAATACATTATAAAATAATTCAAAGAAAACGTATAAAAATAAATATTTATGTACCATTGAAAAAATGAATTTTAAATCAATTTAGTGTCAGTATTAGCATAAGTTAAACACAAAAAGAAACTTTGTACGCACAAGAAAAAGAATCACACAAAATAATAAAAGAACATGGTCGAGAAAATTACTTGTCACATATATAATATATATTATATTTCCATATAATATATCGGTACATACATGTACATCCACCTGTCCAATACGTTACGATAACACTCATTATTGTATTTTTTTTTTCATTTATAATCGGAATGCATACACTTAGGTACGTCGAAAATTGAATAGGAGTTTTCCCGATATCCGAGACCGCGTGTCTCCGCTCCATTTGGTAAATTTCAATAATTCTACGAAATAAATCGTGATCATCTTCGACCGCGATCAAGTGGAAACACCGACGTCTGATTGGGAAAAAAGTGGCTAGGAGAAACACCAATCAGGAGACAGTATGTCCAAAAAATGTCTTCAATTGTCGCTCGATCGAAGAGGATGACGACCCGAAATCACTAAAGCGAGAATCGAGTCTGGTCGACGGATTTTCATACGACTAAACTGTCCCTTTCTATCCTAAATTTTATACAATTTATCCCTGACGAATAAATCCACGACAGACGCGATTCCCGTTTACCAAACGTTTCGAACGAAATTCCGTGGAGAATAAACGAATCTGTTACAAAGTTTATCGCTAAAATAATCGCTGAGCAGCTGAACAAAACGAAGGACTTCGAATTAGAAACACTCTTTCATTTATACTTTATCGTTGCGCTGTTCGAACTTACATTATTATTTATACTCGAAGAATTAGGTTCTTTAGACCGCTTTGTGTCTGCTTGTCGCTTTCGCGGCTGGTGTTTCTTATAAAAAATAAAGCGAACATCGAAAAAGGTAACTAGCGTTCTGTTTCGATTTTATTCATCACCGATGGGGTTTCTCTGTTCACGGATAACAGATCGTACAAGGCCTCGAAGTATTCGGTTGTTAGCAATCGAGAAGTAATTGACAGAAGTTTGAATTAAGAGGTTAAACAAAATGCAAACTTGAATGTTATGAGGGAGGTAGATTGAGGACACTCGTGGTCCTTGATGCAAATTATTTCAGTTAAATAATAATAATTCAGGTAAAAATTCATGCTTCAATACACATTCGGATGCACTGAGTTTTGCAAACTTCTCACTCAAACTTCGCATGTTTACAAATGAAATATGCTTATGTCTAATCGTTTTGTGTACAGATTTTTACGGAAGTCATAGATAAAATCTTTCGGCAAAATTCGTAGACAGATTGCTTTTGCAAAATTAATAAACAAAATATTTTTACAAAAATCCATAGACAGAATGTTTTAGTAAAATTCGTAGACAGAATATTTTACCAAATTCGTAGACAAAATGTTTTTGCAAAATTAATAGACAAAATATTTTAACAAAAATTCATAGACAGAATGTTTTAGCAAAATCCATAGACAGAATGTTTTAGCAAAATTCGTAGACAGAATATTTTACCAAATTCGTGGACAAAATGTTTTTGCAAAATTAATAGACAAAATATTTTAGCAAAATTCATAGACAGAATGCTTTTAACAAAATTTGTAGACAGAATGTTTTTGTGAAATTAATAGATAAAATATTTTTATGAAATTAAAAAACAAGATACTTTTATGAAATTAATAAACAGAATGTTTTTGTAAAGTTGATAGCACAGTATGTTTTTGCAAGATTAATGAACAGAATATTTTTGCAAAATTTATAGACAAAATATTTTTGCAAAATTTATAGACAGAATGTTTTAACCAAATTTGTAGACAGAATGTTTTAGCAAAGTTTGTAGACAGAATGTTTTAGCAAAATTTGTAGACAGAATGTTTTTATAAAATTAATAGACAGCATGTTGTTATGAAATTAATAAACAAAATATTTTTAAAAAAATTAATGTACATAATGTTTTTAAAAAATTAATAGACAAAATATTTTTACGAAATTAACATACCGAATAATTAAAAAAAAATAAATAGACCAAATATTTCTTTAAAATAAATATACAGAATGTTTAAAAAAGAAATTAATGTACAGAATATTTGTACAAAACTAACAAAGAGAAAATACAGAAAAGAATATAAGAAAACTGAGAATATAAAAAAATACGAAATCAAAAGAAAAGTATAAAAAGTGTAAAAAATGATATTAAATCGTGCAAGAGAGTCGTTGCGTGCTGAGAGAAATATTTTCGTCGGAAGAACGTAGGAAACGGAAGACGCGTTTAGCCCCATTTCTGGAACAACCCCACTCGTTGGCACCGACAATTCGAGCCCCATAAATTGCATCTGCAACTGGAGCTGTTACAGCAGTCTTTTGGCCGATGGTCACAATTTCCGCCACGTTTTATGCAGGCTCGCCTAAACAAGTAAATCAACGAGGTACGTCTACTCGAGATTAGGAGTATCGGGCTAATGCTTTGTGAAGACATCGAGACATCAAGATGGTGGTGGAGGGGTAGAAATTATTTTTGTGGAAGAAAAATAATAATATATCAAATGTTTAAGATGATGTATTGTCAATTGTTTATTTGTAAGGTGATGTACTGTTTTGGCGTAGTAAAGTCAGATTTGTGTGTGACTGAATCATTCGTGTGTAAATTAAGGGGTACTTCATTTTGAAATGTGTTTTACTTGTTATTGAATAAATTTATGAATTATTTGGGTAATTTTTGAAACTCCATATTCCCCAATTTCTGTAATTCTCAAATCTTCATGTTCCACAATTTCTACATTTCTAAAATTCTACATTTCCCAACTTCTACATTTCTAAGATTCTACATTCCCCAATTTCTATAGGTCTTAAATCTCCACAGTTCCTAATTTCTAAATTTCTAAATTTCTAAATTTCTAAATTTCTAAATTTCTAAATTTCTAAATTTCTAAATTTCTAAAATCCTATATTCCCCAGTTTCTATAATTTTGAAATTTCTACATTTCCCAATTTCTAAATTTCTAAAATTCTATATTCCCAGTGTCTATAATTTTAAAATCTCTACATTTCCCAATTTCTAAATTTCTAAAATTCCATATTCCCTTGCTTCTGTAATTCTAAATTCTCTCAATTTCTCAATTTCTACATCTCTCAAATTCCATATTCCCCAATTTCTATAATTCTCAAATCTCCATATTTTCCAACCTCAATGTCCCCAAATTGTTATACTTTAAAATTTTGTATTTTCCAATTTCCGTATTCCCTATATCTCTACACTGTCAATAAACATATCCCCAAATTTCTATATCTTCACTATCAATTTTCTTCTTCCTATAGAATAGTCTTCAGTACTTCCATTTTCAAAACCTCATGTTTTTAAATTTCTCTATTCATAAATTTCCATAAAATTTCCTTCAAAATTCTATATTCTCTAATTTCCATATTCATCACTTTTTAAAAATGCAGAAATATGTATTCAAAAAGTGTGATTATTATGCATATAACAAATGTGATATACACAAATATAAACAAATGTGTATTCCACTACTCATCAACGTAAATGTACATAAGAAAGACTTAAATTCACTTTGATCTCTTTCTTTCTCAATTTTCAAACATACACAAAAAGTTAATATAATTTTCATAGATTCCTTTGTATCAAAATTGTCATAGACACTATTATCGTTAAAAGAAACGTGTATGAAAGATTTCATCAAATTCATTAACAAAATTGCTGTGAAGCTCGCACATAATGTATTTCATTAAAAATTTCATAATTGGAGAACAATGCACGTCATGATTTAATAACTGAATAAATTGGACGATAAATTTAGACGATAAAAAAAGAATACCAAGGTGGGTTGAATTCAACCAGGAAGAGAACGATAAAACGTAAATAAAGTTAGGTTATGTCACGTGCCAGAATAATGGCATCAAGATAAAAGAGTAGCTGCTATAAGAGATAAGATTGCTGAAGCTCCTTGAACTTTGAGAGAAATATTAGCATAAAATTAATTATAACTTGGGTCGAATCTGACCCGAGAGTTTATTAACAGTAAATATACCAGTGTGCAATACATACTTACTCTGAAATTAAAAATGAAGTTGAAGAATAAGTAAGCAAATGATAAAACATGAATTAATATAAATATTGATTCTTCATCTTTATGAAGATAGGCAAAGATTCTAAAGAAATTGTTTTAATAAATTTTGTAAGTAAAAACTTGTAAAACTTATAAGCAAGACTGTTTAATACTAAAATTACCAGAAAAGTAAAATGACCTTTTTACAAGTTTTACAAGTTTTTACTTATAAAATTTATTAAGACAATTTCTTCAGAATCTTTGCTAATTGCTAAGAAAATCACGATGTACTAAAAATTTTTATCGATGTGTTTAACACTAAAACTACCAAACTGGACAAATGACCGGTCCACAAGTTTCTTTTTATAAGGTACACATTTTGTTAAAGTACATTCTTTGAAATCAGCATTGATTTTCATCAAGGTCAAGAACAAATGTGTGTACTAATTTATGTTTCATCGTTTGGTTATTTATTTTTTAACTTCATTTTTAATTTCAAATTAAGTACACATTATATATCGATAGGTTTATATTGGAGATAAAAGTAATATAAGAGCGATACACGAATTAGCATTAACATTTGTCTCCATCTAGCGATGTTAATCATCATTGTTTGTTCCTTCTTGTGTTCGCATGTTTCGATTCAATTTTGTTCTTTAATTTATATTCTTCTCACGTAATTCTGATTATATTTTATATCGTTCTTGAATAAATAGTTTTTGTGCTTTGTATATAATTAATTACGACACTTTATTCGTCCACGGATCTCCTCGCCTTCAACAGTTTAGTGTTAAAAAAATTTAGGAAAAATTCAGAGTTGAATAAAATTTCAAAAAGTTATTGTTGATTAATTGTTGTAGTTAATCTGTTATAGTTATGTAATTAAATCTGTTCAAATACTACAAGATCGGTGAAATAAAACAATTCAAGATTGGTAATTAGCGTAGGAAAGTCTACAAGAAATGAGTAGTGGATGTCTAAAAATATGTTGATTGACTGTCAGACCGTGTTTGAATACATCTTTCTGTTGTTTAACATAATATACTATTATTATTATTACGATTTCATTTCATTATTGTAATATACTGTAGGTTCTATTGGTGCAAACAATAAAGAAATTTGTTTAAAAATAAATAAAATTAATAATAAATTTTTGGGGAAGATGAAGATGAATATGATTGATATAAGAAAATAATAAATACTCACTTCTGTTGAGCAGCTCGCATCAAATTTTCTAATGCGTTATCTGTATAATCGGAATCTGCGACTTGTAACGAGTCTTCCTCTGTAACATCAAGAATATATATATTTATTAATATAAATTGATTAGTTTATTATGTTAGTTGAGAAAGTAGGTGGTGATATACCTTATCGCTTAGAGAAGTTGCAAATTTGGCAATTTAGAATTAAAGAGATTGCAATTTGAGAAGTGGGAAATTTAAGAATTTAGAGATTTAGAAATTTAGAAATGTGGGAGTAGGAAAATTTGGGAATTTAGGAATTTAGGTATTGAGGAATTTAAGAATTGAGAGATTTGGGAATTGGGAAATTTAGGAAGTGGAAGGTTTGGGAATTCAGAAATTTAGGAAATGGAAGATTTGTGAATTGGGAAATTTAGGAATTAAGAAATGTGAGAATTAGAGAATGTGAGAATTGGGAAATGTGGGAATTGGGAAATGTGAGAATTGGGAAATGTGGGAATTGGGAAATGTGAGAATTGGGAAAACTTAGCAATTGGGAAATTTAGATTTGGAAAATTTAGGCATTGGAACATTTAGGAATTGGGAAATATGGGAATTGGAAAATTTAGTAACTCTGAAACTTGGGAATTGGGAAATTTAGGAAGTGGAAGGTTTGGGAATTGGGAAATTTAGGAAATGAAAGATTTGTGAACTGGGGAATTTAGGAATTGGGAAATGTGAGAATTGGGAAATGTGGGAATTGGGAAATGTGGGAATTGGGAAATGTGGGAATTGTGAAATGTGGGAATTGGGAAATGTGGAAATTTGAAAAACTTAGCAATTGGGAAATTTAGATTTGGGAAATTTAGGACTTGGAAAATGTGGGAATTGGAAAATGTGGAAATTGGGAAATATGGGAATTGGAAAATTTAGGAATTGGGAAATTTAGGAATTCTGTAACTTGGGAATTGGAAAATGTGGGGATTGGGACATTTGGGAATTGAAAAATTTGGGAATCTAGAAATTTTGGAATAGGGAAATTTAAAAATGAAGAAGTTTCGGAATTGGGAAATTTGAAGATTTGTAATTTTACGAATTTGGGAATTCATCAATTGGAAAATTTGAGAATTGAAAAACTTCGAAATTGTATCAAACAGATTACACTTCAATCTCATAGATCTTGAAATACACAAAATCAATATCCCTAATAATTTTTCTCAAGACACAATCTTGTAACCTTCTCAAAGCATTCGCAAAAATCTTCAAATAAATCTATTTCACAATAACTGAATAATTTGAAATTACTCAAAATACCTAAGACAATGACATATTTCAAGATCATAAAAAATGCTAACATACGGACATTCATACAAGCACATACATATGAAAATAAAGTCCATTACAATTGACCACTGAAAAATAGCACAAGATTTGCAAAGAAGTCTTTCGTATTTTACGCACTTCGTCTTCGTAACTGGGTCAAAGTGACCATACATCTGCCATACGAGATTAATTGGCTAGGAATAATCTCCGCAGAATTCTACCCGCACAGATTCTACATGGGTCGAAACGACCACGCCACGATAATTCGTTATCTGACTTCCCGCATTTTCTTCGGCGTTGTTATTCTCATCAACCACCACCGGGATTAAGGTAATCTAACGTACCACTTTTTCCCTCTGTTTCTCGTTACGACTGGCTGACATTTCGCCCCAGGGATTTTACCAATGTTTCAATATCCTTGCGACCTCTATAAACGTAGAATAAGGAAATTTCTCTTCGTTTTAAAGAACCGTGTACAATTATAAAGTTTACCTTTCTTCTGAGAAACCGTATGTAATTAACCTGTTCCCGTGCGTTGGCGAGAACACGTGAGAACTCGTGACGCACTTATAGATCAAATGTGCAAATGTTACTTAAATTTTGAATATTCTTTAATTTGAAATTTTGGTTCAGAGTTACTCAGAGAACTGGAAGTTGCATTATCAAGGATTCCTGAATATAAAATAGTTGCAACATTTTAATTTTCTTTGTTTGTTTTAATTGTAATTATAGCCCTGAATAGTTAGTCTTGACTGACGCATCTGATAAATAAATGGCACGAGAAGGGGTTAAGAAATGGGAAATTTAGGAATTAGGAAATCTGGGAATTGGGAAATGTAGGAATTGGGAAATATGGGAATTAGGAAATATGAAAATTGGGAAATTTAAGAATTAGGAAATTTAGGGATTGGAATATATGGGAATTGGGAAATATGGGAATTGGGAAATGTGGGAATTGGGAAATGTAGGAACTGGGAAATGTGAGAATTGGGAAGTGTGAGAATTGGGAAAATTGGGAATTTGGAAAATTTAGGAATTGGAAAATCTGGGAATTGGAAAATCTGAGAATTGGGAAATATGGAAATTGAGAAATGTGGGAATTGGGAAATGCGGGAATTGGGAAATGTAGGAATTGGGAAATATGAGAATTAGGAAATATGAGAATTGGGAAATGTGGGAATTGGGAAATTTAGGAATTGGAAAACTTAAGAATTAGGAAATTTAGAGATTGGAATATATGGGAATTGGGAAATGTGGGAATTTGGAAATGTGGGAATTGGGAAATATGAGAATTAGGAAATATGAGAATTGGGAAATGTGGGAATTGGGAAATTTAGGAATTGGAAAACTTAAGAATTAGGAAATTTAGAGATTGGAATATATGGGAATTGGGAAATGTGGGAATTTGGAAACGTGGGAATTGGGAAATGTATTTTGTTTAATAAAATTTTGGTGAAACTACTTAACCATGTATAACGACTTAATTTGGTATTTTATTTGGTACATATTTGTCTGACATTGAATAGCAGATTTTGTAATTAAAATTATTAAAAACATTTCTTATTTGTTATAATTACTTGTTTTGCAATTAATTGTTTAGGCGCTTGTTTAAAATGTAGCAAGTTTATATTAAATTTCTTTAATGAATTCGTTTGTTTATTATTATTTTCTTATTAGTATTATTTATTAGTGTTATTTATTATTATTTTTTTTTATTAATATTATTTGTGACTGAAATTATTTGTACCAGGGATCATCATGCAAAGATGACGAATAATTGTACTAAATATCAGAAAACATGTATCGATAATAAAGAGAATATAAATACCGTCAGTATAATAGAAATAAAATCATTATTCACTGAGATTTACGATGAATGTAACACGGCGTTCAAAAGATTAACACGTTGACCAGCGTCGTGAATTAAAAAAAAAAGTAAAAAGAATTCGAACAGAAATAAAATAATTTTAATCATACGAGGTAGCAAATGAAAATCTTAAATTAAAAACTGGAACAATTTGTTGTATACACAATTGCAATTATATGTAGTGTGCCATGAGACGCAAATTTATTTCCGCTGTTGCAGGCAACATTTTAATCTGCACACGGGGTGACTCGTGTTTAGAATAATATACAAGATTTCGTTTCCTTTAATTATATAAATCGTGACCGTAAATTCTAAACGAAACACTTCACTTATTACAGATGTAAAATGTTAAAATTTTAATGATTTAGCTTCAGATATGTTTTAAACGTACGTGGTAAGTATACGTATGAGTATAATTTGTGTAGACTGTATTAAAAAGAATGATTTCTATTATTAAAAAATAAAATTAAAAAATAAACATGTTTTGAATAAATTTGTAACGTAGTTTTATTTCTTAATTTTTTAATGTTCGACGTGTTTAATGTTTAGGATCTTCGTTTATTTTAAATTTTATTGCAAAGTACTTGTATTATACATTTCCATTTTTATTTTGAAGTATTTATATCAAGTATTTTTAACTTTATTTTCAAGTATTTATATCAAATATTATTATTCTTATTTTTAAGATATGATATTAAACATTCCCCTTTTTATTTTAAGTTTTCGTATTTTTATTTCAAAGTGCTTATATTAAATGCCTTCATTTTTATTTTAAAATATTTATATTAACTATTTTCATCATTCATTATAATTTTAAAATACTTTTACTAAGTCAAGTAATTTTCACTGTCACTTCTGTATTCTTTAGTATTTTTACTTCCACTTTATTCACAACAATATTTAACTAAATAAAAAGTACATTTTCCAAATGTAAAACGTTTACTAAATAAGTTTACATTTACATGTAAAGCATTTAAGAAAGTTAACATTTACTAAATATTAAAAAAAATTTGATATGTATGAATATGCAGATTTAATCATACGTCACATATACACTGCTCAAAAGAAATATGGCATAGAAAAAATTTAGGCAAAAATTGGCCAAATTTGACTGATGATAACTCCGTGAAAAATCATCGCAAAGTTATGCTCTTTTTTTTAAATTAAAGCTTGAGATCTCTACTTTAAGACCCTGTAGTTTGATTTTAGATTTGATACATCCCTACCACAATAACACCGTAAATGTGAGGTCATGTTTGCAATATTGAAAATTACAAAGTTTGACGAAATGCATGGACTTGCCACATTTTTTTTTGGCGATACTGTTTACAGGAGCATAAAGTACAAACCTTTATCTTTAATTTCCAGTATGTGAAAAACCGCTACCATTTTTTTCTGCAAAGATACAGAACTTTAAAGAAACCCTTGCATTTATGGCATATACCGCCGGCATTAGCATTACCCGATATGCACCTCGGAGAGGTTGCTGGACAGATTTTGCGCATCATATGCCTCTGACAAGAGCCTTTTT